CTGGCTTGTCCACTGTGTCAGGAGGTGAATCCCTTTCCCTCTCTGAGTCTTGATTTCCCTGCATAACAGAAAATTGCACTGGGCAACCAACCAGTAAGCCCTTCCTGCATTTCCACTAAGCTTAACATCTTAAGATTAATTTTTTTTTTACATTCCTTGGGCTTGTGGGAAGAAATAAAATAGCTATATATGAGGTGGGATTGGGATACTTAGTTTAAGAAGGAGCATTTAGTCTGAAAAGAAAATAATGAGAGCATTTGGTTCAGTTCTCCATTAAAAGATAATTGTCAAATTTGAAGTAACCAAATGGAACAAAGAGATGATATTTTTATTGAACTTTTCTGTTCTCATCAAAGTTATTATTCATAATTTCCTATATAAGCATAGAACATAGCAGGAAAGACTCTCAAACAAACCTCACCAATCCTGCCTCCTCCAATAACAAAAGCCGGCGTTTATTTTGCCCTTGCTATGTGCAAGCATTATGCTAAGTGATTTTTAAATGTTATTTTATTTTTCCTCATCAACAGCTATAAGGAAGTAGAGGTTACTATTCTCATTTCATCAATTTAAAGACAGGAAATCAGTTGCCCAAGGTCATGAAATTGGGGATAGCATTGGGAAGCAATGACAGCTCCTTCCGTTTTTCTTACAGAATAATTGTTCTGTTCTGTTCTCCTTCTAGTGTCCTTCATTTACTCCTTCAGCAAATGTTTACCAAAGGTTTGCAACATATTAAATGCTGGAGATTGGTTCTGTGGCAAGACAAGAAAGGTTCCTATCCTCAGAAAGCTTGTGTTCTAGCTGGGAAAAGGCATAAAATAAGCACGATCGCACACAGGAATATGAGAAAAATGCCAGCTAATAGTGAATAATGTGCAGATGATAATCTTAGAGTAAATGTAAAAAGGGAGCAGGTGACTGTTTTATATTGAGTGCTTTGAGAAGGCATCTATCTCTGAAGGTGTGACATTTAAGCTGAGACCTTGGGAAAAAATGTCTGACCTCTTTGAGCTGCAAGTCTCCCATCTGTAATATGGGAAACATTAAGATGTACCCAGACAACAGGATTTTAGAAAAGAACAAATGAGACTGTAAAAGTAAAGAACTCAGTGTCCACTGAAAATCTTGCAAGTGCAAAGATTTAACAAACAAATGTTCCATTCCTCTATGATGATATTACACTTCATTCAGGATTTCTCAACACATGCTTCAGTGAGGATCATAATAATAATAGCTTAAGCTTACTGAGCTCTTTTTTACTATATGCCAAGCAGTATTCTCAATATTTTGCACGTATTAAATGATTTCATTTTCTCAACACCCCCATGAAGCAAATACTACTGTGAGCCCCATGTTAGAAATGGGGAAACCAAGGCTCATGGAGAGTAAGTAAGCTGGCCAACTTTATGTAGACAATAAGTAGTGAACTCTGAATCCTGAGGCCACATCCTCAACTATCAGACTTTGCTGTTTCACATATAATTGTCTTTGAATCTATATCTCCAAAACCCTCTCTTGTCCTAGCAGGAGTGTAAAAATGCTTACAAATCCCATATCACCCTTGCATTATTCAGTTTTGCACCAGACATTGTGACCTCAGCCAGGAATGTAACCTGTCTGGAGACCAATACACAGTGCTGCATTTTCTCCAAATGATTTAAGATCTTCCTCGCACTCAGTGGGCCCTGAGAACGTATTTGATGATAAGAACCACAAGATAATAAGAGCAGACTTTCCAAAGTAATGAGTTGTTCAGCACCATAAGTATTAAAAGTTTCTAGGTCCAGCGGTTTTTCATCAGGGGTGCTATATGATTGACATTGCATATTACCTAAAGTATCGGCTCAGGATCTCTGCAATGCTAATAGACTACCTTCTCATAGAGGTATAAAATAAGGATCTCTCTTGCCTTTCTGTGCGCATAGATGAGGTAGAACGCCACCCGTAAAATAACACTGTAGTGCTGCTCTTCCTCCTCTTCCCAAGGATACCATCCACATGTGTCTGTCACTTTCAAACTAGAAATTGCCGCTCCTCTGATTTAAAGCAAAAAAGTTTTCAGTCAGAATGAATTTGTGATCTCTGGAAGGAGGTGGCTTATCAATGACAAATTCCAAAGCTACCACCTCCTACAATGGGTATTTCCCTACAGAAATAAACAAGGGACAAAAGATTTGCTGAGATAGTGAAAGGAAGTAAGAGTGAGGGCAAGGTCCAGACTGGAACCTAAAGAGAGAAGTTGGAAGATAGAGAAACAAATAACAGAATATTTTCCATTTTTCCTGAGGCCACCCTCAGACTTCTAAAAATATCTCCAAACCATAGGAAATGTTTTCGGATATAAATCATAATCCAGAAACAAAAAGTGGAGTCAGGGAAAATAAAAAGAAAACTCCTTATAGGCATTCCTGCTCATTCTCAAAGAAGGAGCCTTGTACTCACAGTCCAAGAAGAAGTGGGGGGGGGGGGGGACTACCACTATTATATTTTCCACACATCTAGGAAAGTAACCAGTTTATAGACTCAGACATGTGGTTCATAACCAGATTTTTATTTTATTTTATCTCTGTCGATTCACAAAAGTCAGTCTGTGTGAGGCCATCAAATTGAAAAATCAAGGGTTGAAAGTAAATTCTGAAAGCCCAAGAAGGAAAGAGGCTGATTCAGCAGCCTGGAGACTGGACAGAAAGTCTCCTTTTCCCTGAAATAAGGGCCAGACCGGACGTGGTCCTTCTAGGGCTGGCACCTAGAGGAGTCGTTGATGATTAGGCCTGCAGAGTCTCAGAGCAGGGTTCCAGTATTGAAAGTTCCAATTCTACACTGAGAATGGTATGCGACAGAAATGCAGGGTTCTGAGCTTCTGTTGTCTCCAATCTGTTGGAAGTTCTGCATGAGGATTATTTCCTGAGGGGCTGATTTATCAAGTCAGTGGCAGGACAACCTGATCAAAACTTATGGCTGACACCCTAAAGATAGCATCACATAGCAGCAAAAATAAGCAAAACAGACTTGAGTATTAATTCCGCCTCTACTTTGGCCCAGTTGTTTCCACTTTCTGGGCCACTTAACTCATCTGTAAATGTAGAATGGCAATCCAAACTTATTCTTGTGGAGACTGAATGAGGTAATGTAAATAACATTTAAGGTTCGATACAGTGAATTTTCAATACATTTTGTTATTAGCATTGTTTTTATACAATATTATACAAAACTATACTTACTATTGAGAGAGATTTATCTTGCAAATAACTGCCCGATACTCTTTTGTATTTTAAAATCTGAATTTCAGAGAGTCTGTCTGAATGGATTAACTTAATTATAAAATATCATCAGCCAGGCGTGGTGGCTCACGCCTGTAATCCCAGCACTTTGGGAGACCGAGGCGGGAAGATCATGAGGTCAGGAGATCGAGACCATCCTGGCTAACACTGTGAAACCCTGTCTCTACTAAAAATACAAAAAAAAATTAGCTGGGCATAGTGGCGGGTGCCTGTAGTTCCAGCTACTCTGGAGGCTGAGGCAGGAGAATGGCGTGAACCGGGGAGACAGAGCTTTCAGTGAGCGGAGATAGCATCACTGCACTCCAGCCTGGGTAAAAGAGTGAGACTCCGTATATATAATATACGGATATATATATATATATATCTCTGCATATAGAGTCGGGCCTGTGGTAGGTGCTCAAGGACTTATCTGCATGAGGTAAGTGAGTGAATATCATTAAGTCCCAAATAAACATTTAAATATATAAATATATAAATATTTATATATATATATATATATATAAAATCAATCGGTGGTTGCCAGGGGGCAGATGTCTGCTTATAGCCCATTCGGATGTACATATTAGGTTGGTGCAAAGAAACTGCAGTTTTTGCCATTACTTTTACTGACAAAGGCTGCAGTTACTTTTGCACCAACCTATAGAATAGCCTACAGAAGCTTCCATGAATCAAAACTGTGGACCTGACAGTTTTGAACAGAGAAGGCCTTAGATTAACTTTGTGCCTCTCCTCGACTGAACCAATCACATGTATATAAAACATCTTAAGAGAAACCCCAGGCATGGCAAGACCCTCTACATACCTTGGCAGCTAATCAGCAACCCCAAATCAAGGGTAAAATAAATATTCCCATTGGAGTGGTCTTGATGAGATCAGTTTTATGAAGTCACATCAAAGCCCATTTTATGCTGGCCTTTTATTTTCATAGGAGAAAAGTGAATGCTGAGAGTGATTTGGAGAAATCATACAATCTCTTCTTTTTTTTTTTTTTTTGAGACAGAGTCTTGCTGTGTTGCCAGACTGGAGTGCAGTGGCATGATCTCGGCTCACTGCAACATCTGCCTCCCGGGTCCAAGAGATTCTCCTGCCTCAGCCTCTAGAGTAGTTTGGACTACAGGTACACGCCAACACACTAATTTTTATATTTTTAGTAGAGACGGGGATTCACCAAGTTGGTCAGGCTGGTCTCGAACTCCTGACCGCATGGTCTGCCCACTTTGGCCTCCCAAAGTGCTGGGATTACAGAGATGAGCCACCGCACCCGGCATGGCACAATCTCTTCTTTAGTTACTCAAGAATTTAGCTTCAAGGGCTTCGTTTCCAGCTTCGAGGCCTTCTGCATCCCTTGTACAGATTTTCCTGGCCTTGTATGGAAATAGTGTTCATTTCCTCTCCCTTGTAGTCCCATTGTTCTCAGTATCTGCACTGTTTATTTGGGACTTAATGATATTCACTCACTTACCTCATGCAGATAAGTCCTTGAGCACCTACCACAGGCCCGACTCTATATGCAGAGATGAATAAAACACTGTCCCTACCTTTAAGTATCTCACGGTCTAGATCAGTGTTGTCCAAATGAAATAAAATGAGCCCCTTACATAAATTTAAATTTTCACATAGATGCATTTTAAAAAATAAAGAGAAAAAATAAAATTAATTTTAATAACATTTTCATTTAGCCCAATGTATATTTTAATTTCAATAGGTAATCACTATAAAACTACTGATGAGACACTCTACATGGTTTCATAACAAGACTTTGAAATGTTGTGTGTGAATTTTACACTTCCAGCATATCTCATTTTGGACTAGCCATATTTCAAGAGCTCAACAGCCACATGCTATCAATGGCTACCACATTAAAGTCTCCAAGTCTAGATGGAAAATAAACAAGCAAACCTATAAACACAGTTAATAGGTAGGTATGCAGGGTTTTAATGGAGAAAAAAATTGCTCCCTAACCTAGTATCGTGTGCATGTACATGTATATGTGTTAATATCTGCTTTTAGGTACTTGACTGTATGGTAGAGTGAGTTAAGAGAGGGAAGTTTATCATAAAAGAGTCATCAATGTTTTGTTGTTGTTTTTAATAGCATCTTTATTAAGATATATTTCATATGCCATAAAATTCACCCTTCTCAAAGATTTCAATAATTAAGCTACATCATAAAGGGTGATTTTATTACTTGGACTACTAGAGTAGAACATTCCAGACTGAAGAAATAGTATTTTCAAAAGTTTAGCTATGTGAATAAGTATAGCATGTAACAGATAATTAAGTCATTTTTTGTATGGTGGTAAAAAGGGGCCTTAAAGAACATTAAGAGATGAGGCTAGGGGAGGTACAGTGTATCTTTTAAGGATCCCCCACCCCTAGGCCACAGACTGATAGTGGTCTGTGTGGAACTGGGCCATAAAACAAGAGGTGAGCAGTGGGCAAGAGAGTGAAGCTTCATTTGTATTTATAGCCACTCCTTGCTGCATTACAGCCTGAGCATTAGATTCTCATAGAAGCACGAATGCTATTGTGGACTGTGTAAGTGAGGGATCTAGGTAGTGTGCTCCATATGAGAACCTCTCACTGTCTCCTATCACCTCCCTATGGGGCCATCTAGTTGCAGGAAAACAAGCTCAGGGCTCCCACTGATTTTTACCTTGGGGAGAGTTGTATAATTATTTCATTATATATTAATTATATATTAATGAAAAATGTAATAATAGAAATAAAGTGCACGAGAAGTGTGATGCACTTGAATCATTCTGAAACCATCCTGCCCCCCTCAGTCCATGGAAAAATTGTCTTCTACAAACGTGGTCCCTGGTGCCAAAAAGGTTGGGGACCACTGTTTTAAGGCATTTGAACTTGATCATTAAAGCAATGAAAACCCATTGAAGTTGTTTGATTGCAAAAGTAGTAAGAGATCAGGATCATTGCAGTGGGAACTGGAGGAGTCAAGGTTAGAGGCAGGAGGGCTTATCTACTGACAGCTTGATTTATTTTGAGGAAGGGATTGATATTTGGTCTGTCTGAAATTTTAACATATGGTAGGCTTTCTGTTGTATCAAATAGCATAGGGACTCCCCAAGGGCAGGGACTGTTTGTTATGGTTTTTCTGTTCAATATTCTTGGTCACTAGAATCCCTTTAGATGTTTTTCAGCTGCAATCTGTACTGTGACTGGAATGAGAAAGCCTTAATTTATACCATCTTCTGATGATACAAGACAAGCAAGTTTGTAATTTAATAAACGCAGTCAAACCTGACCTTTGCAATGAACAACAAACATCTTGTAGCCTGAAATTTAGTCCCAAAAACTTTCCAGAGACGCTGGATAATATGATACCTTGATTCTTCTGCACATAAAATCCTGGGCATACAATTTCAAATGTGTGTCTTGAGTCTTCCCATAAAAGATAATCATGGAGTTCTTCCTTCTAAGATATTAAGATAATTAGAATGATGTCTCACAAAAAAACATGGCTTGTCAAGCTGGACCCAATATGTCAGGAGATAGCTTCTTAAAAGGATGAATTACATGGAAAGTAACTTGGGGCCAGCCAGATGGAAGTTGTCACCTGATGCTTTTACCATTGTGAAAGAAATGAAGAAATGTAGTGAGCAGATTATGAAAAACTTAAACCAGAGTCAAACTCGAGCCCTAATCTCTGATAAATGACAATACATCATGTCCCTTGGATACTAAGCCATGTAAACAAATAATAATGCAAATACGCTACTGCTCCCATGCATGCCTAATATGTTATGTGTGCACCTCTGACATTCTCTTGTCTCGCCTCATTTGTGATTTAGTGTTTAAAACCATCAGAATTAGCTAAGTTGTTTGGGTAATCTCTTAAATAATTTGGTACTTGTCATGATTAGTTGAAATTTCTTTTGTTTATCTCTGTGTACTTAAGAGAGACAATAAGCAAGAATGGGTTCTCACGCCGGCTTTGTGCTTACCAGTCTGGAGAATTTAGACAAGGCACTTTCTCTCCTGGAGCATCAGTTTCCCAATCTTAGAAATAAAACATTCACACTTTAATATTCCTCTAAGATCTGAGAATGACCTTCAGATATTTATGGACAGATCATGCAGTCATGCTAAGTGACCACTGACGAATCCAATAAATACAAAGTTGCAAATGTTGATTGAAGTCACATAACATTGCTTCAGACAATGCTTGGGACTTTTGAATGTGGACTCTTTTCCCCTAGAAAGAGATTTCAGTGTACACCTTGGTTTACTGTTTACCATCCATTTCCCTTTCTTAAGGATAATAGTTCCACAAATTTCCTTTGGAGAACTGACTTGCTACCATTCTTGGATACCCATTTCAGGTAGTTTTGACTGATCCCCAGCGATGTTCTTTTGATCTCTGCCTGTGAATAAGCATGTAGACCCGCTTATGTTATCATATTAGATAACATATTATATGGCTAGTATAGCAACCTTATATTCTAATATGATAAAAAAAAAAAAAGGACAAAAACAAAGAATAAAAAGACAAAATATTCTTTTGGTAATAATCTCGAGCCACTGATGTGAGCTGTACATAAAGTTCCTCCTACCTCTGAACTTTTGGATGCAATCACAAATAAATTCCCCTTCATTTTCTAAACAAGTTTGATTTATTTCTGTTATGTATAACTAAACAGTACAATGAGTTCAGTCATGAAGACTGCATCATACCTGAAAATTCTTCCCTGTTTTTCAAACTCCATGGCACCAAATATCTTTGTTAGGAAATCAGTTTCATGGACTGATTCCAAACATTTCAGCAAGTCTCTTCACCTTAAACAAAACTGTTTTTCTTCGTGTGTAAAAGGTGATACTTAACTAGATTTTAAAAACTTTATGCAATATCACAACGTATTTCCAGACAACTAAATCTTCCAGATAACTAAGTCAAATCAGTGTCTTAGACAAAACCATAGTTAGGTTGTTGGTAATTGTCTAACAATGTACACAAAATAAGATTATTTCTGATATGAGTATTAAGGGGCTAAATAAGATGGTTTAAAGTTGTTTCAAAACTCAACTTCCAACTTCCCTGAGTTCAGTTTATGACTACATGCAGCATTAGATCAGGGTTGCCAGAACCACTGACTTCATACATGACGCTGCGATATGTTATTTACTGTACGGCCTTTTTTTTTTTTTTTTTTTTTTTTTTTTTTTTTTTTTTTAGCAATATAGGAAAGCATTTCAATCCCAGACAGCCTGGCTTTGAGTCCCAACTCTACCACCTCTGGCCAGCATCTTCATGCAAATTCATACTTATTTCCACCGGGCTTCTGTTTTCTTCTTTGTAAAGTGAGAATAACAGAATTCACTATCTTATAGGGTCTTTGGCAGGATTAAATCCACGGTCACTATAAATCTCAGAACAGTGCATAACACAATATAAGCATTCAATAAATATAGCTACTCTTAGTGGTGTATTAGAAAACATCCAAATTTAGGATGGCTTCTAATCTTAAATGATGTTTTCTGAGTATCCCAGTAGAAGTATAGGCCCTGTGCTGAGAATTTTATATATAAAGGCATTATACATAAAGCTATTATACTTTCACAACAATTCCACGCAGGGATACCATAAATCACATCTTCCCGATAAAGAAACTTAGTCTCAAAAAGATGAAAGTCGATAGGTGGTAGGAACAAAGGCAAGGTTGGAACGCCATTCTCTCTGGGGCTTAAATACACACATTCCATTCTGTTGCCTACCAATGCAAGATGACTTGTCCATCTCTGCATTTCTTTAGGCGGGGCATAGGCCTTCCTTATTTAGTCTGTTCCCTGGGATGAATCCTCTTCTATGTGTCTCCTTCTCCTGTTTTCCCCATATTCCCGTTTTGTTACATGCTATGGTGATTGCAACACAGAGGAAGATTGTTCCTCCTATGTCAAGCTCTCATATGAGGCACCAAGTAGAATTATTTGTTAACCTAGATTCTATGATCATATAACACGAGTCAGATGCTAATTTAAATGAAGTAATGGCTCTTCATTTCCCTCAGAATACAGTTTATTGATCCATTTAATCTTTCAACAAAGATGTACCAATGTTCCAAGCACTGAGGTAGTTCAAATTCCTTAGACAAGATTTGCCTTTGGTTTGCTTTTCCACCCTCAACTCTCACTATGTCCAACTTTGTATACAAGACTTTGTGCAATCTTTACAGTTTTCTGTATGTGCTACGCTTTTGCTAATTCCTAGGCCTTTATATATTGTTACTTCTGGCAGAAATACACCCTAATATCCCATTTCCACTTTGCCTGGCTTACTTTTACCCTGCCTTCAGACCTCAGTTCAGCAGACACATTTTTTTGACAGTCATCACTAAATGTAATCTGGCCCCAAAGAGGAGGCGGGAACCTTGCTTATGTGTCCCAGACATGTCCCTATGTCACCCTCCCATTTGCTATAATCTACTGAAATTTCTTGCCTCCTTATCTAACCCTCCACTGCAAGATAACAGTCATGATAGTAGAGATAATACTTTATTCCTGTCTAAATCCTGAGTACTTAGCAGAGTGCTTAGGGTACTGTGTGAGCTCAATAAATATTTTATTAATAAAAGAATCAGCTCTGTGGTCTCTGAACTGGTATGGGCAGGGTTGTAAGAAAGGCAGATGTTATTGGGAGTCGCCATGCATTTCCGATCACAGGGGCTGGAAGAAACTTAAAGATAACAAGTTTCAAGAGTTTCCAGTAATCAATTCACTTAAGCCAAATCCCTGACACTTGAGTGCCTGACGTGACAATGCCATAATTCTTTAGTCTTAAACTTCCTATGAAACTACGTGCTTAATCACTCAAGAAGAAGGCTTGGGTTAGAGAACAGTAGCCTGTCTCTCTGACTACATTCCAGACCCATGAAGAACGTGGAAACTTGTGGGGGGTGGAAATCAGTCTTCAGAGATGTTTTGGAATAATGAGTAAAACTTTCCCAAATTCTCAAGAGCTGTGTAATAATATTTAAAGAGTTCTACTGGAAACAACACCTCTCAAACATAATTATCTTAGAAAAGTTACACATATAAAAACACATTCAGTTCTACTTACATTGCAAAATTCTGTTTTCTTCTGCCTTCAGTGAATTATTAACAAAATTTAAGTGAGCATCTACTATGTACCCAAGAACTAGCATTATTGAGCATTTACTCTGTGCTTAGCCCTAAGTGCTTTTCATAAATTATCTCATTTTTTCCTTACAGCAACTAATAGCATTTTCCTCACTGTATTAGTTCGTTCTCACACTGCTATAAAGGTACTACTGGAGACTGGGTAATTTATAAAGGAAAAAGGTTTAATTGAGTCACAGTTCCACATGGGGAGGTCTCAGGAAACTTACAATCATGGCAGAAGGAGAAGCAGCACATCTTTCATGGTGGTAGGGGAAAGAGATAGTGTGTGTAGGAGGAAACGTAAAACACTTATAAAACCACCAGATCTCATGAGAACTCACTCACCATCATGAGAACAGCATGGGGGAAACTGCCCCCACAATCCAATCACCTCCCTCCCTCAACACATGGGGATTACAATTCGAGATGAGATTTGGGTGAGGACACAAATCCAAACCATATCACTCACTTCACTGAAGAGATACTTGAGGCGAAAGGAGTTCAGTGCTTAGATCTGGGACTCAAACTCAGGCATTCTGACTTCAGAGCCTGACCTCCTAACCAGTTTGCCATATTTACTCATGTTCATGCATACATGTAATTTAACTCTCACAACTGCCCTACTGCATGGTTGCTTTTATTTACATTTTTTTTTTCTTTTTTTGAGACGGAGTCTCCCTCTGTCGCCCAGGCTGGAGTGCAGTGGCGCGATCTCGGCTCACTGCAAGCTCCGCCTCCCGGGTTCACGGCATTCTCCTGCCTCAGCCTCCCGAGTAGCTGGGACTACAGGCGCCCACAACCGCGCCCGGCTAATTTTTTGTATTTTTAGTAGAGACGGGGTTTCACCGTGGTCTCGATCTCCTGACCTTGTGATCCGCCCGCCTCGGCCTCCCAAAGTGCTGGGATTACAGGCGTGAGCCACCGCGCCCGGCCTATTTACATTTTATAAATGAAAAAATACTCTCATTCATAAATTCAGCCAAAAATTTCTAAGAAGCCAGCACTGTGTGGGCAAGTACTATGTCCTTTCTTTTTTTCTCCCTGCTCTAACTCCAGCTCCCAGCACTGTATCTGCCACATGGCAAGCACTCCATATGCCTTCTTTGAATAGTTAGGAAGTACTTACTGCTTCATGGTCTTTGTTTTTATCCCATTCGATCCCACAGTAATACTCACTGGGACTAGGTAGTACCTCATCACTGGAGTGGGCAGCTTAAGATTTTATTTAAAAGAAAAATAGAGCAAATCAAAAAAAGCCTCATGAGAGCACTTAAAAGGGGACTGTTGGAAGTCAATGAAAAGAAAAAATAGATATTACTTGTGTCTATATACACTGTATTACATGATTCTAGAACAAGTAGGTTTGGAGACATCTGGGAAACTGAATCTTGCCATTTTCCACTGGAAATAAAGAATACAGGTGCATACATTGTTTTACACATATAAAAATTATAACATTTTATTTTTATAAATAAAACATATTTATAACATAAAATAAAAATATTTATTTTTAAAAAATAAAAAAGGGAGATGCAGGCAAGGTAAAAGACACACACAGGCACATACACAGAGAGAGAGAGAGAGAGAGAGAGAGAGATTGGGGTGCCATGGTTTCTATTTTCAAAATGCAAAACATGCTTCTTTCTGTACTCAAATCTCTAGTGAAGGCAAGATTATCATTGAAGGGATATGTCTGTCGGAAACATCTTCAATGAAATTCAAATCTGGAAGTTCAGCCACTCCATTCCTATAGGGACTTACAAAGTTCCACTATTTCAGAGAAAAGAACTTCCATGAAAAGGTGCAGTCCAATACTGTCGTTTCTAAGAAAAAAAACTATCTTTGAAATAAGAGACTAAAGAGAAGTCTCAAATCAGAGTCTTCCCTTATATCATCAAACTAGCACCTTAGCCCTGACAAGGAAGGAAATCATTTTGTGCACAGGTAAATAATGGAATTGTTTTATCTATCCAGAAAGTAACTGGTGTGCTCCACTGGTGAACATAAAGTGCTGCTGACATAGAGACCCTAGGGAGGCATTCTTCAAATCCCAGCCAGTCTCTCCGGTTGGAGGAAGTGTTTCCAACCACCATGTTATCCCCCTCTGATAACACAGTCACAGTGATAAGAGATAAATCTTTGTTGGGATGCAGGGAGCAAAGAGAGTTCATATTCTTTGAAGGTAGCGATCATGTCAGATTCACCTTCCTTCTATCTCCTAGCAAGGGAATTTGAAAAACGAACTCGTATTAGGTCCGATTATATGTTGAACTCTGTCCTAGTTACTCTACATGTGACTTTTTTTTTTTTTTAAACACTCATCACAAACCTACTAGAGAGAGATTATTTTACTCCATTTGACAGGACATTGAAACCCAGGAGGAAGCTCATTCTTGGCCACAGAGTAAATCAACGGTAGATCTCTAACCTGGACCAAGATCCAAGTGGCTTCAAAACCTATACCCTTCCCAACACACCTTACTTGCGCAAGGAGAACATAAAATGAGAAGTAAGAATCAGAATCTATCATTAGAACTATAAATGCTAGTGAGAAGATCATAAGAACAGGAACTATAAACCTGGGTCTCACTTCTGGCCTGGCCACAAGCACTCTCCATCACACTGAGCCAGTGCTGAATTTCCCTGGGCCTCAGTTTCCTAATGTGAAAGATGAGGGAGTAAGGTTTGCATGAAGTCTGAGAACTTCCTGGCAATAATGAATAACTGTGAGATGACAATTGTTGGATAATTCTTTGCTAGCATTCAATGGATTTGATCATGACATTCTTTTAGTTTGCGGACATCTGAACCAGAATGTGTGTTATACTGTACAATATATTGGAAAGTTCTTAGATTTTGTTTTAGAACATTTATGAAAACATATTTTTGCTGGATTGGTTGGTGTAAAAAGAATTGTGGTTTTGGATCATGAATTTTAAATCATTATAGCTAGGGTTAAACACATCTTTATTAATCAAAATAGGAACTATTACAATAAACACATTTTTGCCATTGAGGAATAAGTTTGCTTATTCCTGTAGAGTAGAAATCTATGCTTCGGGATTCAATAAACTCTTGGAAAGCGTTTTCTGCTTCTTACTGGTTGTGGAAGCGTTCTCCCTGCAAGAAGTTGTTGAGCTGCTTGAAAAAGTGGTAATCAGCATTTTCTGCATCTTACTGGTTGTGGAAGCATTTTCCCAGCAAAAAGTTGTTGAGCTGCTTGAAGAAGTGGTAATCGGTTGGTAAGAGGTCAGGTGAATATGGTGGATGAGGCAAATCTTCATGGACTTATTACTAACGACTTATTACTTGCTGTTTATTTTATGTTTATTTTAGACTACAGAAATGATGTTAGACAAAAAGCAAATTCGAGCAATTTTTTTTACACAAGTTTAAAATGGGTCATAAAGCAGCAGAGACAGCTCACAACATCAACAACACATTTGGCCCAGGAACTGCTAGCAAACGTACTAAATTTGTCTGGACAATTTGTCCAAATTTTGAAGCACTGGTTGTGCGACATGCAGTCAGGTGTTGTAGAGAACTGGGCCCTTTCTGTTGACCAATGCCAGCTGCAGGTGTTGCAGTTTTTGGTGCATCTCATCGATTTGCTGAGCATACTTCTTAGATGTAATACTTTCACCCAGATGAAGAAAGCTGTAGTGGATCCGACTGGCAGCCAGCCACCAATTGGTGACCATGATTTTTTTTGGTGTAAGTTTGGCTTTGGGAAGTGCTTTGGAGCTTCTTCTCGGTCAAACCACTGAGCTAGTCATCGCTGTTTGTGGTATAAAATCCACCTTTCATCACACGTCACAATCTAATTGAGAAATGGTTTGTTGTGTAGAATAAGAGAAGATGGCACTTCAAAAATGACTGGTTTTTTTTTTATTTTCACTCAGCTCATGAGGCACCCACTTAGCAAGTTTTTCACCTTTCCAATTTGCTTCAAATGCTGAATGACTGTAGAATGGTCAATGCTCAGTTCTTTGGCAACTCTCATGTAGTTGCAAGAGGATCAGCTTCAATGATTGCTCTCAACTGGCCATTGCCAACTTCCAATGGCCAGCCACTATGCTCCTCATCATCAAGGCTCTTATGTCCTTTGCAAAATTTCTTGAACCACCATTGCACTGTAAATTTGCTAGCAGTTCCTGGGCCAAATGTGTTGTCAATGTTGTGAGCTGTCTCTGCTGCTTTATAACCCATTTTAAACTTTGTAAAATAAATTGCTTGAATTTGCTTTTTGTCTAACATCATTTCTATAGTCTAAAATAAACATAAAATAAACAGCAAGTAATAAGTCATTAGCAAAAAACATAAAGCAAGAAATGCCCCTTAAAATGATATATAACATAACCACATTTATTTAAGAATGTATTTCAATATCAAATGGCAAATTCCAATAATGGAAAACCACAATTACTTTTGCAGCAACCTAACACTTTCTAGTTTCAGTTGTCTCATCTGCAAGATGGTGTTTATGAAACAGATCTTACAAGTTATGGGTAAATGGAATAATATAACTAAATGCTTATAAAAGTGCCTGGCAAAATGTAGGTGTTCAAGAAAGCTTAGTTAAATGGAAGATGTGGGAGGACTATAAAGTTGGAGTGGTCACTTAATGTCAGAGATGGGAAGATTTTTTAGACCTGAGTCATGGTAGAAAAATGCAACAGATATTTAAGAACATAAAAACGTGTGCATTGAAAACATATTCTTCTCTTTGCATTGCAGAATTTATCCTCTGAGCTACTTTCTCCATGAAGAGCTCCTGGGGTTACATATCCTCCCTTCACAGTAATCCCTCCTTTCCTCACATCCCTCACCATTGCCTACTCTGTCACTATCAGCCCACTCTGGGTATGCTGAGTAGAAGATGACAGATTGCTTTCAGTTTGTTTCATTTTTGTTTTTGTGTCTCACAAGTTAAAGTAGAGGTCAGGGCCTGACTTCTGTTAGTATTTGATAGACTGCAGGTTTCTTGGAGGAGGGAATTTGTATTGTTTCTACCCACATTTTTCAGTGTGATAGCACATAAGTACCCAATAAATGTTTACTCAAATAATGGATGAATGGTTCAATATCCTTTTAACGTGTTTAGCCATCAACATGTGGTTACTCTTAAGAGTTCAATCTCCCAAGGCAAGCATGAAAACCACTTCATGATCTAACTCACAGATACCTCTTCAACTGCAATCTTGGATATGCCTCTGAACCAAGCAGGTGCTCCAGGCAAACCAAACCATTTGCTATGGATGTTGTTTCACACTTTCTTTTCTTTTCCCTCTGCTCGTATTTCTCCCTTCATCTGCATTTCCTTCTGCCTAACCACATATCACCCTTGTTCACCTGATAAACACCTTTTCACTTTTGTGGGCTCCCACCAAGCTCCCTCTCCTCTAGAAACCCATTCCTAGGTAAAATGAACTAACTCTACCTTCTCTCCACCCAGGGACTTCCCTGGGCCCCCTATTACCAATAACACTTTAATTCTCTTATTTTTTTAAAGTAGTATCTTTAAAAAATAACATAGTAGTATCATAAAAAGATAAGACAGTCTCCCCATGGGACTATGAGCTCCTTGAAAGCAGTGCCATGTAAAACTTTCCACTGTACACAGCAAGGTCAATCAGCACAGGGCCCAGGACAGAATATGGACTCAACAAAATGATCTAACTCATTTGCTTATAAGTGGTTATTGGCAACCTATTATGTGCCAGGGACTATTCAGGAGCTGGAGAAACAAGGGCAAACCAATCCGGGCATGTGGCTTGCATTCAGACACTAGTTAACTAATCACTCAAAAATGCTTGATTAGAAGTGACAAGTACAAAGAGGAGATGGAGGTCTATAAGAGAGGAGCTGACCTAGTGAGGGAGGTAAGAAAACCCCTCCAAGCTGGAAACCATCATTCTCAGCAAACTATCACAAGAACAGAAAACCAAACACCACATGTTCTCACTCATAAGTGGGAGTTGAACAATGAGAACACATGGACACAGGGAGGTGAACATCACACAACAGGACCTGTTGGGGGGTGGGGGGCTAAGGAAGGGATAGTATTAGGAGAAATACGTAATGCAGGTGATGGATTGATGGGTGCAGCAAACCACCATGGCACATGTATACCTATGTAACAAAACTGCACGTTCTGCACAGGTACCCCAGAACATAAAGTAAAATTAAAAAAAAAAAAAAAAGAAAAAGAAACCCCCCCCCTATAAAAGTGACATTTGAATTGAAATGTGAAGTGTAAGTAAAAGTCATCAGGTAGGCCTGGGGTGGGGAAAGGGAATAAGTGACCAAGGCATCCAGGTGTTCAGGGTATTATTCTTTCTCCTCATATACCCTGAGGCTCTCTGAGTCTTGATTTTCTCATTAGCCTCACTGCCGGGAACAATCCTCACCTCAATGTGTGGTTTGTGAGGATGCCATGAGAAAATGTGCTTTACGTGCCCTGCTTAGTCCTTGGCATAGAGTTCCTGCTTGATCAATGCTAATGGCCCTACTCATTCTTCTGAGGCACCTAATCTTTCTCTTGATGTTTCTAATCATTTTCCTGGTGCCTCTAATCAATCTCCAAATAATAGCAGGAGACAGAACATGTGGCTGCTCAATAGGCCACGTCAGGGAATTGGCTTTCACTGAGAAACAGCAAACTCATATACTTCATGTTACAAGGATAATTGACCTCTCTTTGAATTATCTCTGGATCTATTGTACTTATTTGTTTGTTCTACTGAACTGAGATTCAGGAGACCTAGATTTTAGACTTCAATTCTGCCATCACCTTACAGATAAGTCCAGAGATTGAAACTGATGATTGGAAATTGTTTTTGTTTTACAAATTAAATTATTCCCTTTCTTCTCCTTCTTTCTCCTCTTCCTTTCTTCCATGTATCCTTCTTTCCTCTTGTCCTCCCTCCTTCCTTCCCTTCTTTTCTTCTCTCCTTCTTTCTCCCCCTTTTTACTTTTTATTAAGTACTATATTCAGTAAAACCTTCTATACGCCAGGTGCTGGATTAAGTACTAGGTATGGAAGAGAAACTAAGGTAGATATTTTCTGGCCCTCCTATAGCTCACAGAGTCATGAAGAAGACACATGGGAAACACAGCTATTGAAAAAACTGCAATGAAGAAGATCAAGTTACTATGGAAACATGTAACTGCAATCTGATCTCTCTGGGAGGTCAGGAAAGTTACATCCCAACTTATCCTAAGGATGAGAAGGATTCAATCAGGATAGGGGTTGAAGAGTAAGCCCTTCCAGGATAAAGTAATAGCATTTGCAAAGACTTTGAGGAGAGAACAATGCCCTGTTAGAGGCACTAAAATGTGGTCAGCCTGACTGGTGGGTAGATATTGAACGTAACGGCAGCGTAGGGGGAGGCTAGAGAGAAAGATGGCATGGTAACCTGCTCATGATAGACCTAGTAGGCCACATTAGGCAATTTGAACTTTACCGAAGAGCAGTAAGAGTGATGTGATGCTGAGATTCCTCCACCTCCTTCTCAAACCCTTGCTTTTATTTCTCTAAAAACTCTAGCAATAATTCATGAAAACCATTTCCTTCTTTTTCTTCGCCTCACCAACTGATGCCTTGAGGGACCCACCCTAGATTTTCCCCCAGCCTCCATTAACAGGGCAGAAGTATAAGGAGTCCCAGCTTGGAAAATTGCCCTTGGAGCCTGGGGCTGCAGCTGGCGTTGCCCACCACATCACTGACCCAAATGTGAATCAACCAGAAATTACTGGGTGAAGCTCATTCATTGGCTGTGCCCTCAGCTATGTGGTCACAGTGGAAGAACTGGCCCCCTAAAATAATCATGCCTGCCCATCGAGGAACATCTGAGTCAATAGCTCCATTCATCGGCCTGCCTACGCCTCCCAGGTCTTCTTCTCTCCAGAGATATATGGCAGGATATCCATATATGCAGCTGTCAGTGGAAAACCATTGCATGGGTGGGGGTGGGTGGAAAATATATTTCTTTTTGCAAATTTATGGAAAGCAAATATTGCAGTTCTCCTCCTTCATGATGCTAAATATAGCAAGTAACAGATCCTCCTTTTAAAATGGGCATTAATTTTTTTTCATAAAGAAAGAATAGCAAAAACACAGGAGACAGGCAAATCTGTTACAGTCATTGAGTATTGATTCAAAGGCCAATTCTTTCTATCTAGGCCCCAAACCACCCAAGCAAAGGATGGCTGGTATGCAGTGGTAACTCAGAACTTACTATTAACAATGATGTGCTTGTGGTCAGCAAATTCCTCCCAAGGCTCTAAGTCCCACTCTAAAGTATATTTCTTTTCCTCTTCTTTCTGCACGGCAAACCCATTTCTTTGTATACTTTCAGTCCCTCTAGACATAATAGTGTTAACATTAATGAGCTAAAAATATAATTTTTATAAAGATCAGTAACTTCATTCCATTCTTGATCTCAGCATTATTGACATATTGAGCCAAGTATGTCTTTGTTGTAGCAGTTGTCTTGTGCATTGTAGGATGTTTCACAGCATCCCTGGACTTTACTCAGTAGACACCAGTAGCACCCCTTTTTTCCTCCCACCCAGAAGCTGTGACAGTCAAAATGTCTTCAGACATTGCCAAATATCTTCTGGGGGTAAAATCACTCCAAGTGAAGAACCACTGGTTTATTCTCGTACTTAAGAGGCAATATAGCACAGTGGTTAAAGACATAATAGACTTTTAAGTTGAAAAGAAACTAAGTTTCTTTTGTGATTAATCTCCTTTGTGATTCAAAAGCTGTGTGACCTGTAGCAAGTGATTTAACATCTCCAAGCCTCAGTTTCCTTGGTAACATGAGGAAAAGAATATACCTTGCTGTTGTATTGAGAATTACATAATATAATGTGGATGAAACAATTTGGAGGGCCTGAAACCTGGTAATCACTTAATTAATGAAACTTGCCATTAACTGGAATCAATATTATTGATCATTTGTTTAGCTGCTTCATTCCTCTTTTTCAAACTTAGTCTTCCTTCCCTGCTCCTTTTTCCTTCTCTATTCACTTATTCTCTTAAAATATATCTATCTCTAAATTAGTAACATGCAGAAAGTTGCTGTATTATTAACATTGCCCATGAAGTCTAGCCCTGTGTTCTAAATATCTAGAAAACTGCTCTGCTTGAGTGTCATGGGATGCATTAAAAGCAGAATGTCGAAAACTAAACAAGCCCAAATTTAACAGAGATGACTAAGACAAAGATTACTAAAGGAAATGCAGAAATATGAATTGTTTAAATGACTCAAGTGAGGTCACAGTTCTTAGACAAACAAAACAGATATAAAATCCCTTGAGGAATAAACTTGGGATTTAATATGATCATAGCAATTTTAGAAATACATTAACAAACAGTGGAGCGTCTAGAGTAAAGAATCCAACCAGAGAAAGGTCTGATAAGAAATCATCAATCCAATCAATTGATAAACATTCGTTATTTCTAGGAGCTGATTTCTGCTCAGTTTTACAAAGGACACTCTTGTGTTAGTGAGCGATTAAGTGGCAATCATTTTTTTAAGGCTACTTCATCTCCAAGCATGGGCATTTTATCATAAACTTCTTAATGTCTCCTTAAAGATGATGATATGTTTGGCTCTGTGTCCCCACCCAAATCTCATCTTATAGCTCCCATAATCCCCACATGTTGTGGGAGGGACCCAATGGAAGATGATTAAATCATGAGGTTGGGTCTTTCTTGTGCTGTTCTCATGATAGTGAGTGGGTCTCATGAGATCTGATGGTTTTAAAAATGGGATTTTCCCTGCGCAAGTTATATTTTTGCTTGCTGTCATCCATGTAAGATGGGACTTGCTCCTTCTTGCCTTCTGCCATGATTCAGAGACTTCCCCAGCCATGTGAAACTGTAAATCCAATTAAACCTCTTTCTTATGTAAATTGCCCAGTCTTGGGTATGTCTTTATCAGCAGCACAAAAAATGACTAATACAGTAAATTGGTAACAGTAGAGTGGCACACTGCTGAAAAGAGACCTGAAATGCAGACTCAACTTTGGAAATAGGTAACAGGCAGAGGTTGGAACAGTT